ACTATATACCACTCAGGTTAGGTCATGTAAATTTCTTCTTCTAAGTCACCATTTAAAAAGGCTGTTTTAACAACCATTTGGTGAATAAAAAGCTTGTGCATCGAAGCTAAAGTAATCAGGATTCTAATAGAAGAAATCCTAGTCACAGGAGAAAAAGTATCGAAATAGTCAATGTTTTCTTTTTAAGTAAAACATTTGGCTACTAATCTAGCCTTGTATTTATCAATTGACCCATCAAGAAAATATTTTTTTCTTGAAAACCCATTTACCCCCGATAGGTTTCGCTCCTGGGGGCAAGTCAACCAAAACTTATGTTTTATTTTGATTTAAAGAATCTATTTCAGCTTTAATAGCTTCTTTCTAAAATTGAGAATTTGGAGAAGAAATTGCTTCATGAAAATTTTTCCATTCACCTTGTACCATATAGATAAAAAAATAATTTCCAAAAGAGGTCTCTTTTCTTTGCCTTTTACTTCTCCTTAAATTCTCATTCAAACCATCATTTGAAGTTTTTTTAAAGGAAGAATTTTCAATTCTTTTAGAGACACCTCAACTTTCAAAGGAAATATATTCTCAAAAAATTCTATATCTTTTGTTTCAACAATTGTATTGTGATCCAAAAAATCGCTTTTCAAAACCAAAAAATGACAAGCAGCACTTTGTTGAGCATAACTAATAAACATGCAATCAGAAGTTTTTAAACCTATTTTTCTCTTTTTAGAATCAAGCAATAAGACTTTTGCAAGACACCCCTACACTTTTAAGTATTTGAGATTAGGCACAAATCCTTTCTACAACTCATAGGGTGTCTTTTTAGTTTTCTTATGAGGTATTCTGTTTTACAAAAAACAAGCAGACAACAAAGTCTCTCTCCACAAGTTATTAGGTGCAGCAGAACTCACAAGCATAGCATTCATCATTTCTTTTAGAGTTCTATTTTTTGTTTCTACAACCCCATTAGACTTAGGTAAATAAGGAGGAGTTACTTCATGGATTATTCCTTCTTTTTCACAAAATCATTTAAAGCTAAATATTCCCCTCCTCTATCTGACCAAACTCTTTTAATTCTTTTATTAAGTTGATTTTCTACTTCTGCTTTATACAAAAGAAACTTTTCAAATGCTTCATCTTTGTTCCTCAACAAATATGCCTTAGTATATTTGGAAAAGTCATCTATAAAGGTAATATAGTATCTTTTACCTCCTCTAGTTTCAACTTGTTTTAAATCTCCTAAATCAATGTGAATTAAGGATAGTAAGTCAGTTTCTCTTTGTGTAGAAAAATGTGCCCTGTTGGTTAATTTAGTCTCCACACATACTTCACATTTGCTTTCAGTATCACTTTTTAGTTCAGAAATTAGACCAAGGTTCTGCAATCTTTTAATATATGATTTATTAACATGTCCTAATCTAGCATGCCACAGATCAAGAGAGTCAATCAAGTAAGCAGAAGAAGATGCATTTTCATTAATTTCAACAACACTTAAAAAAACAGACCTTGATTACAGTATCCCTTCCCAATGAGAACTTTATTCTTAGTCATGACAACTTTGTCGACTCAAAGGACACTCTAACCCCAGCTTTCCTAAGTAGCACCACAAAGACTAAGTTTGCCCTAACATCTGGGACATACAGCATATTGTTCAGTGCCAGGGTTTTTCCTGATGTGAGTTTTAGTACCACTTTCCCTTTTCCCTGAACCTTGGCAGTTCGGGAGTTAGTAAGGTAGATGTGGTCTTTCCCTTTTTCAATAGAGGTAAATATCTCTTTATTTGCACTGATGTGCTTAGTGGCTCCTAAATCCACTACCTATTTCTTCACATCAATCACAATGAGGGATTGAGAGACCACTGCAGCTATGACTTCATCATCACTACCATCATCTCCTTCAACCAAATTCACATTTGGTTTAGCAGGATTATCATCCTCTAGAGTAGCCCTTTTGCTACATTGCATCGCATGGTGCCCTGACTTTCCACAGACAAAATAATTGCCTTTTTTTTTTAACTTTGGGTTAGAATCCTTGGGTTTATAATCAGATTTCTTATTTTTATTATTTTTGTTTTTGGGATCATATCTCTTGGAGCTCAGTTTTGATTCCACCAGGTTTGCTTTGGCAGCTATTTCTTTTCCCTTCGTAGCTTGTATTGCCTTTTTGTTTGTGTCTTCAATTATTATGTGGGTGATAAGATCAGACAGGGACAACTACTCTGGTTGTGCTTTAATATTGTTTGTAGTCACTCTATGTTTTCGACAGCTTCTTGATTAGTATGCCAGCTACGAACTCATCTGACAAATTAATCTTCTCAGCACGAAGCTCCTCCAGCAACTTATGGTACTTGTTGATTTGGAGCTTGATGTCTTTCTCTTCAGTCATTTCCCATTTGTAGAAGTTCCCCACCACAAACTTCTGCTTCCCAGCATCCTCAACAGTGTACTTGAGGATAAGAGATTCCCATATCTTGTGTGCCTCCTTGTAGACACAATACACATCGAATAGATAATTAGATAAAGTGCTGATAAGAGTGAGTCTGCAAACCCTGTTAGCATGTGTCCAAATATCTTTTTGGGCTTGATCAGCATCTGGGGTAGGTCCGGACTGAGTAAGAGCAAGAGCCACTCCATGCATGTCAAGGAATACTTTTATTATCACTTTTGGCCAGATCATCAATGCTAACTACTACTTTTCCATGGCCAACTTGCACAGTGAACTCATGCTAGTGGTATTCAAAATCATAGGTAGCTAATCTCATGTTCTTCTGTTTTTAGTACTTATAAGTGTTTGGTTTTATTTTTCCAATTCTTCATACTTTTAATTATGTTATTTGATTCTCATGTTATCATTGCTGAGACTTCTCAAAAAATGTGTGTCGTCATACCAGGGTTGAGCAACTAAATGCGGCTGGGATTCACACCTACTGCAGATCTTAGCAAATATCTTGGAGTTTCAATACAACATGAACGTGTTACAAAAGGGACCTATCAATTTATTATCAATAAAAATAAATAGACTTAGCAATTAGAAAATTAATAAACTTTCTCTTGCAGGTAGGGACACTGATAAGTCTGTTATTGCAGCAATTTCCAATTACACCGTGCAAACTGCAGACCTCCCTCTAAGCACCTGTGATGCTATTGAGAAGAAAGCTCGGGATTTTTTGTGGGGCTCGATCATCAGATGAACAGCAAAAAATACACCTGATGGCGTGGCAGAAAGTTTGCGAAGAAAAGAGTAGAAAGTCTGGGTACGAGACACATCCAACAACAAAACAAGGCCTTTTCTCATGAAACTCGGCCAGGGGGCTTGTTTTAAAAAAAAAAAAAAAGGTTGTGGTAATGATATGGTCCCAACAATTGATACTCGAAGCGCAGAGTCAAACACGTGGCAAGGAATTAAAAAGAATTCTGATCATGTTAAAAATGGCCTACAATAGATCTAGGATCGTCATGCCTGTGAGAATGTACACTAGAAATGGGGAAAACATGGCAATTTTACGGTAGAGTTGGCCTATGATTCTCTCAACCCAGATCGTGGGCTTCCGAATGACAACTAATCAATTTTTTTTTACTTTATTTTATTTTAATTTCATAAAAATCAATTTAAATTCAATTGTGTTTGCTCAACTTAAATGAAAAGAGAAAATTCAATACCTAATCACTAAGTGAGTTTTCTGCAAGATCAACCATGATATATCATTAACTACTTTGTGGCCCATATATTTGCAGTACCTATTAAATTTTGGTAGCATCATCATCTTACCTCTATATCTTTATAATAATTTTTAGGAAAAATCATAAAAAAAGACGGCCAAAATAAAAAAATTACAAATAGGGACCCATTATAATATTAGTATGGGTTTTGACAATAATTTTTGTAAACTAGTCCCTATGTGCAATTTTTTTTTATTTTGACAGTCTTTTTTTTTTAATGTTTTTTGCTGATTTTTAATCCTTATGATCATGTAGGGTTAGAAATTTTAAGGTATGAATTAAATTAGAAATTTTACCTATTTAAAGACCTAGTTGTCCTATTCACTTATTTTTAAGGTGTGAATGAGAGTTTTTTTTTGGTAAGTATTTACTTGTAACTTTGTATTTTTGATAGAATACTTCTAGATTGCAAGAGTTTGATCAACTCATTGTGATGCTTAGGTGTCATTATTTTTTTAAAAAAAAATAAATTGATTATCCAGCAAAAATAAATGTACGTTGGTTAGACCGTTAATAGAGGGGAGAAATTGAAAAAAAATTAATTACACTAGGGCTAAAATTGTATCATTAAATATTTTAACGTTTTGAGTGCACGTCTAAAAATAGTTCAGGTGTAGAATGTTTCTTTACCCTTTTTGAAAATGACACTTTAGGTAACTTGAGTAGATGTATGGATATACTGAGTTCGAGCCTAGGTATTTAGATTTAATTTGAATAGTCCACATATTTTTTTATTTTTATTTTTTAAAAATTATTTTAATTTGTGCATCATCTGAAATAAAGATAATTTTTTTTACAAAAAATAATTTTATTATTTAAAAACCATTGACTGAAAATTTAAATTTGACCATTAAAATTATTTGTGGACGATTCAAATCTCATCACATCCAAACCAATTTTGAGGATAGAAATAGAAATAATGTGAAGTAGAACCAACCAATGCTATTCGTATTTTTATCCACATGACATCTTCCAAATTTATGATGTCACAATCACAACATTACTATTATTCCCTCACTTTCCACGTAGACAACCTCGTCGTTTTTTCAAATGCATTATTGCTCCATATGAGTCCTAATGAATGTGACGAGTCTCAATTTCAATTAGAGTCTGTAATTATCAACGGTTAAGTGACCCTACATAATCTAATATGAAAAATCCAGATGACATTATCTACCAATAATGGCAGAAATCAGTGGCTAATAAGATCGAGCTCTCTATAAATTAACGAATTCAACCAGTGAGCGAACTATTCAAATGCCTATGATTACTGGTTGCACCAGCGTTCCAATGGCTGCAACTTCTACTACTTGCTTCACAAAACCCCATCCAGATGCTGAGCTTGAAGATGAAGAATCAGAAAGCCTTAGCCAAGAATGTAAGGATCTGCTTCTTTCTCTCCCCAAAGAGAAGGGTTGGGACTTACCATCCCTTTATCTCTACCAAGACATTTGGTGCCCTTCACCTCGAATTCAAGCCATAATTTCTTTTCAACAGCACTTCCAAGCAAAAGATAGTGATATTATCATAGCTTCCTTCCCAAAATCTGGTACTACTTGGTTAAAAGCCCTTACTTTTGCCATTGTGAATCGTAATTGTTTCTCTTCGTGTCAACAAAATCATCCTTTGCTCATTTCCAATGCTCATGACCTTGTGCCTTTCTTTGAGTTTAACTACTATGCAAACAACCAAATTCCTGATCTCTCCGACATGTCTGAACCAAGAATGTTTAGTACGCATGTTCCATTTCATTTATTGCCTGATTCTATTACCAAATCCAAGTGCAAGATAATCTACATATGTCGTAACCCATTTGATAATTTCGTGTCATTTTGGCTTTTCCTCAACAAAATTATCCCACCATCATTGCCCAAGTTATCTCGTGAGGAAGCATTTGAGAGGTACTCCAAGGGAGTCAATGAATGTGGTCCATTTTGGACTCATATGTTGAGTTATTGGAAAGAAAGCAAAGTGATGCCAAAAAAGGTTTTGTTTTTAAAGTATGAAGATCTGAAAGGAGATATCAATTTCTACTTGAAAAGTATGGCTGAGTTCTTGGGTTTCCCATTCAACTCAGAGGAAGAAAATAATGGTGTTATTGAAAGCATAATTGAGCTATGTAGCTTTGAGAAGATGAAAGAATTGGAGGCTAACAAGAACGGTAAATTTATCCACAAGTATGAGTACAAGAATTTCTTCAGGAAAGGTGAAGTAGGAGATTGGGTGAACCATTTCAGCCCTTGGATGCAAGAGAAATTGTCCAAAGTGATAGAAGATAAGTTGGGTGGCTCTGGTTTATCCTTTTAATTATTCTATTCAACTAATTAAGCTATAAATTCGTATGAGCGCCATAATGTTTTCTCTGGCAGTGATGAGAACATGCATTAGTTTTGATTTCCCTGGGTTGCTGTAATATTGTCTTTATATGAATTTGTATCCATTAATTGTATGAAATGCATGCATATTTTAAAGGGCAGTAAATTTTCTCATATTACCTGGTCATCTGAAGCATTAAGTCACTCGACCATGTCATTAAGTCGTTCATCAGGAGCATCTTGTATGTGTTACTTCTTTATATATCTCAAAATTTTGTCTTTCGGATTTTCTAAAATCAAATCAAATTGTTCAACAAAGCTTCCATGTCAGAGTTTGAAAACATCCTGCAGTAATAAAATTAAATAACGACATCAACAATTTGAGTATGGAGAAACTCTTCACGGTATGATTGAGTGCACCACACAAAACATGTCGGCAACCCCTATAATAAAAATAATGAACATATGGTTCAAGTGGTGCCAAAGGACTAGAATTGAACAATGATATTTCTCAATCCTTCAGTAAATTAGAAAATAGTACTCCCTAAGATTAAATGAACTCTTTCTACAAAAACACAGCGTGACAGAAGAATGAAAAGTTTTATGCGAGAAAGGAGCGCTTGAAGACTTCAAGATCAATTACTTGTTTTTCGACAAACTATAGTTTTAGGCCCCAGTGGGGCAGGAGACATGCCTAGAAATGGCATCTGCCGACAGGAAGAAACAGACATATCAGAGGGACCCTTCTTTAACACACCCACGCTGTATATTCACAACAAAACATAACACACACATATACTCAAAAGAAAGTTAGTGTGGCTTTGGTGTGTAAGAAAGTTGATTCAATAGCCACAGAATGCAAAATATCTCAATAATATGGTTTATTTTTCCGCTCCTGATGTTTCTAATAGAAACAGATCTCTAGGCAGCATGGCAGAAATGAAGAGAACCACAAAAACGAAGGCCAGAAGGATAAGATTCAAAGAAACCTAACGCTGCCCCTCATCGTGCTTCACTATCTTTCCATTTCCAATAAAAAACACTCCCGCCGATCCTTTCTATAAAACATTTGTAGGAAAGATATATGAGTTCTTATTATAAGTCACCGGAAAGTATTTAGGGAGAGTCCAAAAAAAGAAGTTTAAAATTACTAAATCTCAAATCAGGTTTGGTTCTTACACTTTAATAGGTTTTGACCACATTTGACTTGTAAACAACAACACAGTTTTTAGAAATTTTTAATTTGGGATTTAGTAGTTTTATTCTTTTTTTTTTGTGTGATTTTTCTATTTATTGTAGTTTCTTAAATAATATCGTTTTTTTTAATGCTTGTTATTTCTTTTATGTTTTTAAACATAGCAAAACTAAAAATTTATCTCATTTTCGGAGAGTTAATGAATTCCCGGTCGTTTTTGTTCTATGGAACCTTCATGATATTTTTTTTCAGTGGATTCATAAATAATAATTTCAAAACTTGGAAATTATTATTTTCCATTAACTTGTTTAGCAGTGTTAAGTGGTCGGAAAAATTTTACCAGTCGTTAAACATTAAAAGACTGGAGGAGAAATAATAAAACTATGGGAATGAAATGAACCTACTGGTGGTAGGGCTTCTTGGTTGTGGACTAGTATTCTGGATGGAAGGAATGTGCTGACCGAAGATTTGTTTTGGAGAATAGGAAATGGGTCGATGTGACGTTGTGGAAAGATATATGGATTAAGGGTTTTGATGGCAGCCTGGATCAGATTGTTGAAATTCCTGAGGACATGAAGAATTGGAATGTTGCTGAGTTGATTCAAAATGGAAGATGGGCTGTAGAGGACTTGGAGGGCTCAGTGCCAGATGATGTTGTTATAGGAAGATTGAACAAATGGTATGTTGCAATTCTGGAAGAAATATCCCATTAAGTCTTAAGGGTCAAGCCTAACAAAATGTCTCATTTCTGAAATTTCAACCCTGCATAGCGGACCCTAATTCCCACTACTACACAGAAGGTTATGATTCAAAGAGACCAAACACTGCCCCCTTTCTATCTCGTGACTATTTTTTGGATAAAAAAAAATCTCATTAAGTCTTTCTTATAAAACACTTGTCATATGCGGGTTTGGATTAGTGATAAACAACTATAATTTTATATGACCATGAGCTTTATAAGTGACATTGGCTAAAAGTAATGCTACTTGTACTTTCAGTTTGGATTGTTTTTTTATAACTGACTTTGAAAATATTTTATGTTGGATTTCATTTATTAAAATCTTTTATAGATACATAATTATGAAAAACACTATGAATTTTATAAAGTTAAAATATACTAACCACCCCTCTGTTTTACCTAAATTATAGAAACATCTTATCTATTTTGAAAATGTATGTAAACCTCTATTGAAATTAAAATATATATTGCACAAAATTTCTATTGTATATTTAAGATTGAGCAAAATACTCTAACATCCCTTATACTTTGTCCTAATTATACTAACCTCTTCTCAATTTTAAAAACATACACTTAAATCCAAATTATTAACTCTGTTAAGAATATTATAAGAAGATACATTTTTAATTAAAATTCATATCAAAATGCTTTTAATTTACTAATTTACCCTTTATAATACTAAATCCTAAATTTTGGCTAAGATGTTTTGAAGAATTTAAAATCTTTTCCTCTTCCTTAATTTTTATTTTTTATTTATGCAAATAGTTTTTTTTACTGTTTTTGTCATATTGGGATGGAAAATTAATTAATTTAGTTAATATAGACATAAAAATCTTGAAAGAAAATTTGAATAATTCTTTAAATAAACATATAATAGGCTAAATACGTTATAAATGTTTCTAACAAAATTTTTGTTTAAAAATTTTAAATTATAAATTTAAATGATTTTTATAGTCTCTCATATGGTGAAAAAATATTTATTTAATATTTTCTAGCCATTTTTAAAAACAACTAAATTAATAAGTTTCGTTATGCGGTAAAAATTAAAATGATAAAATTTTATAATACAATCAAAATTGATAAATTTAATTGCATATTAAAAATTGAAAATCCATGTACTAAATTATGTTTTGTTGTATCAAAAAATATTTTTTTTAGCAAATATAAATGTTTAAATAATTTTTATGTTGAGGAGGAGTATTTTGGTCAGAAGAGAAATTTAAAATTCAAACTTAACGGTTACCTAACACTTAGATAAATGAAAATAAAATTTTAAATATACAAAGGAGGTTTGTATAACATGCCTTTTCAATTTCAAGGGATGTTTATATATATTTTCAAAATTTAAAGGAGATTTCTGTAATTTAAGTAAAATAGAGGGTAGTTAGAGTATTTTACTCTTTAAAATTTTATTTCCATCCATCTCATCCTTAATTAATTGTTAAATTTGACTTTTAAAATTTTTTTGACCGAAAACACCCGTCATTAACATAAAAATTATTTAAAATTGCTATTTATCAATAAAATAATTTTTGATACAACCAAAAAAATTTTAATACATGTATTTTCAAAATTTTTAAAATGTAATAAAACTTGTTAATTTTTATTATATTATAAAATTTTTCTAATTTTAATTCTTCATCACATATAATGACATTTATTTATCCGGGTTTCTTTAAATGGCTAGGAAATAAAATGAATAAATATTTTTTATCATATAATATAAATTATCAAAGTTTGAGAAATTATAGAAATCATTTAAATTTATAATTTAAATTTTTAAATAAAAATTTTGTTAGAAACATTTATAACGCTTTTGGTCAATTATACTTAAAAAAATAAATCAAAATTTCATTCAAGGTTTTTATGTCTGCATCAACTAAATTACTTAATTTTCTATCCCAGTATGAGAAAAATATTAAACAAATAACTATTTCCAAAAAAAAATATTAAGGAAAAGGAAAAAAATAAATTCTTCAAAAACCTTTAGCCAAAATTTAGAGATTTAGTATTATGAAGAGTAAATTAGTAACTAAAAAGTATTTTAATATGAATTTTAATTAAAAAATATCTTTTTAGAATATTCTTAACCGAGTTAACGATTTAGGCTTAAATATTTTCACAATAGATAAAAAGTCCATGTAATAAGGGCAAAATGCAAGAAAAGTTAGAGTATTCAAAAAATATTCAAATTGAAAGTACAATTAACCAATATTAATTTTAGCTAGTGTCACTTATAAAATTGATAATCATCTAAAAGTATAATTGTTTATCACTAATCCAAATCTGTATATTACAAGTGCTTTATAGGAAAGACTTAACGAGATATTTTTTATCAGAAAAATAGTGACGAGACAGAAAGGGGGTAGTGTTTGGTCTCTTTGAATCTCATCCTTTTGTGGCCTTCATTTTTGTGGTTCTATTCATCTATGCTGTCTAGAGATCTGTTTCTTTTATTTTTTTTTATGAAACATCAGGGTATCCACCAGCAGACCAGTGATTAATCCCTTCACTGGCTTGTAGACACCTCGATGGGTGGGACAGTTGGCTCAGGATTTTAAAGTTTTTCCATGCCCAAGGTGAGGATCGAATCTTGGACACTTGGTTAAGGGAGGATGAGCCACTTCCGCTCAACATCTGTTTCTATTAGATTTTATTTTTGAGAAACTAAAGCCACATTATATGGCCATTATGAGGGACAACTAAGGCCTTCATTTTTGTGGTTGCATTTTATTAAATCTCGGATTTCATTTCATTGCCATAATTTTATTAAATCTTTTGCTAGTCTTTTAATTTTTAAATGACCTTGCTCCTTCATCGGTGCCATCATCTAGAATATGAAAGGGAGAGTTCAAATGTAAAATTTTCAATTTACATATTCTTAACAATAAATTTATTAATGACCTTTATTTTAAATTTTATATCTATGAAAATGAAATTCTTTAAAGAATTAAAGAATTGAAATGAAATCACAACTTATTAAAATATAAAATTACTAATTAGAATCACCACTTTAAACAACTAATTTTTATTTATTTGATAAGTTTTGAAAAATTCATCTCGTGAACGTACTAAAGTAAAAGAACTCAATGAGTACAGAAAATTATCAACTCATTTAAATAACTAACTGTAGATAATGGTATATAATTTAAACTATGATCTAAAGTGTGTCAGTAAACTATAGTTCAGAATTCTGGCAACAAAAAAAAAACTACAGGTTAGAATATTCTGGATAAAAGTCAATATAAAACGAAATTAGAAATATATGATAAAAAAGTTAGAAGTTATGGCAAGTATGGCAATTTAATTGTCTTCAAATTTTCAATGGAGTTATTTTGAAGTTGAACAAATCTAACACTTAGAGATTAACGGAGTAGATAATAATAATTTCTCATTGCATGTGCTTAATTCATCTTAATTCAGCTTTGCCAAGACAATTAAGAGCTAATTAATATGAAAAAAAATTAAGGGTTTACTTATGATATAAATACAACTTTAATTACCAACCCTTTGATAAAATCTCTCTCTTCTCACCAGTTAAACCAAGCCAACTTAAGGTGTGTATCTGATTATCAAATTAAAGCAAAAACAAGGATTGCCTCCGAAAAGGGGATACTTGTGCCTACCAATATATATGTGTGTGTGTGTCGCGCACAATTTATTCATGTGAAATCGACTCTGAAAAGAGAATGCAATATGCAAACTGGATATCTATAAAATATTATTGAGAGTACGAAAACATTAATCCTGATGCATGTTTGGAACACGATACCATAGTTATGATATGATGATACACATATCCTTATTCCAGCTTAATTAGCTAGTTTGAGAAAGAAAACATGATGCATAAATGGTTTAAATGGATGAAGATAACTATTAAAAGGACAAACCAGAACCAGAAAACTTCTTTTCCATCACTTTGGACAATTTGTCTTCCATCCAAGGGCAAAAATGATTCACCCAATCTCCTACCTCACCTTTCCTAAAGAAGTCCTTGTAATCAAGCCTCTGCATAAATTTTCCCATTTTGTTTACCTCCAATTCCTTCATCTTCTCAAAGTCACACAGCTCAATAATTTTATCGACGACAACACTTTCTTCCTCCTCCAAGTCAAACGGGCAATTCAAGAACTCAGCAATTCTTTTCAAGTAGAACTTGATGTTTCCTTTCAATTCCTCATACTTTAGAAACAGAAACTTGTTTGGTGTCTCTTTGCTTTTCCCCCAATAACCCAGATTATGCGTCCAAAATGGACCAACTCAATAATCCCCTGCAATACCTCTCAAAGGCTTCCTCACGGGATAATTTGGGTAATGATGATGGTATAATTTTGTTGAAGAAAAACCAAGTAGACACAAAATGGTCAAATGGGTTGCGATAAATATAGATTATCTTGCATTTCTCAACGAAATGAAATGGAACATGGGTACCAAAAGTCTTGGCTCAGGAAAGCTGGAGAGGTTAGGAATCTGTTTACTTTCATAAAGGTTGAATTCTAAGTGAGGAACAAGGTCGTGAGCATTGGAAATGAGCAAAGGATGATTTTGTGAGGGAGAGAAATGATTCCTATTCACAATGGCAAAGATAAGGGCTTTCAGCCAAGTAGTACCAGATTTTGGTAAGGAAGTTATAATAATATCACCATCTTTGCTTGGAAGTGCTTTTGAAAAGAGCATATGGCTTGGACTCGAGCTGGTGTATACCAGCAATCTTGGTAGAGATAAATGTATGGGCTAATCCAACCTCTCTCTCTAGGAAGGGAAAGAAGCAATTCCTTGCTCTCTTGGCTAGGTTTTTCATGTGCTTCATTGTAAGCAAACTCGTTTTCAGACTCAACACATGTTTGGTTTTCTGGGAACAGAGTGGTTGTATTTTCAGCCATTGGAGGTGATAGTTTATGAACTATCAATTAATAAGGCTTAAAAATTGAACTCACAAGTTTCTAATATTTATACCATTATCACTTGGCTGGTGATGCAGTTATTTGAAATTGATAGCTTAACAAATGGATCAATAATTTGTGCAATTATTTGGGTATGCCTGCTGGTGGTTGACCCATGGATGCACGGAATAAAAAAGTGAAGATATGCATCAAAAAAGATAATGACCACGTGAAAATGGAGAATGGAGGGGGGAGAAAATTTTGAATGATCTGAATTTAAAAAATTGGTGAAATGTGACTACTAGCTTTTAATTAATTTTATTTATTTGCCAAAAATTAAAGACAAAATTAAGGATAAGAAAAAAAAAACTTCAAATTCTTCAAAACTTTTTAGCCAAATTTAGGGATTTAGTATGTAAGGTAAATTAGTAAATAAAAGTATGTTAATATAAATTTTAATTAAAAAGTATCTTTTTAGAATATTCTTAATAGAGTTAACGATTTAAACTTAAGTGTATGTTTTCAAAATAAAAGGGAGGTTCATGTAATTAATTAGGGCAAAATACAAGGGAGGTTAGAATATTTTACTCTTATAATTATTATTGAAATATAATTTTCATTTAATAATTATTATTAATAAAAATAAATAGCATAAATTCTCATTGTTGAATCTCTTCTTCAGGATTTTCAAATCACAAAAGCAATTTCTAGTAGTTATGCTCAAAGTATCATAGAAACTGAAATCATGATCTATGGGGATTTCAAAAACTTTTGCTAAACAAGATACATATGCTTCATAATCACTTATCTAGACTCAAACAGGCTCATTTGAAGTGTCACCACTTAACCAAACAAACAAATTCTCAAATTATAAGATATACAAGAAGTATTTATTGTATTTTTTTAAAAAAATATTACCCTTTTTCAATGTGAATATTAATGTCAAGAATACATCGTATATGACAAAATTGGCAATCCCAATGTTAATGTCATCTTCCAACTCCACAAGTACCTTGTACCAAACAAGGGTTCAAAATAATATACCATTAAAAAACTTCGCACAAGCAATTCGGAACCTATTATTTTAAATCCGTGCTAAAAACCATGCTAGATGGCTCGCAAGGCAAATAAAATTTTCAATGCAAATCTACACATTATTGGGAGTCATCAGTTAAAAATCAAAGCGGTTGCGGAAAAATGATAAAAATGAAAGTTATATTCTTAAAATTGTCACAGTGATTCAATTGATGGCAAGAGCATGATAACCGAGAAAAAGCTTAAATGAAGAGAGCCACAAAAATTGAAAAATGTGACCGTATAAGAATAATAAGGACAAGACTTAAAGCAAACGAGCAGAACTCAATTTCTTTCTCATAACCACAAGCTTTAAGTACCACTTTGATTTTTAATATAAGGGCTTATAACTCATTTTCTCATACCAAAGAATGTATTAAGTGACATTTTTTTTTCAATTTTACCCTCATTAAGGTTTTCTCTCTAATATTCAACAACTCATCTCATTTCTCTCTATTCTTTCTCTTTTTCCAATGACAATTAAATAAGAGTAAAATTGAAAAATAAATATTAAATATGCTACATGTAACTTATTTAGAACCAAAATTTTCCCTTCAACTAACTTCACCAGAGTGGTACGCATAGAGAAAGTGGCTCAGCTTCGTAATTAATGCTATGAATAATTGTGGTTTGGAAGCTAAATTCTGATGCTTATAGTCTGAAACAGCTGCAAAGTAATTAATCTCACAAGTTTTAAGTAGACGCAGAAATATTGGGTAGGTAGTTAATGCTATAGATAATTGAGGTTTAGTAAGATAAATTGTGATGCTTATAGTCTGGAAAAGCTGCAGTTTCCGTGATCGTTTGAACCAGAATTTTTGTTTCGGTCTGAATTGAACCAGACTAATCCATTGAAGAATTCGAAAAGCTCATCAGCCAACCAATAATACAATAGGAACCTGCTCCCTAAGAGAAGGATTATCATATACTCTCCGGTCCTATATATAAG